GCTTTTCCCAGTGCCTTTAGGATAGAAGAGAAAAACAAAAATAAGAATCCTCCCAAATTGGTGGAGGAGGCAAAGTTTGGGGCAGTGATGGGCACCCTAGCCCGGCCCGAGGGAACCCTGAGCACGCCCCCCCATGCCCCCCAACATACTCAGCGGACTGTGGAAGGCACAGACGCACCTCAGCTCCTTCCTAATCTGTTTCCTTTGGGAAAGAGATTCCCCACTGGTAGCTCTGCTTTGTAAATAGATGGCTGACATTAATTAAACGAAACAAGATGAGCAAGTGTCTCTGCAGCTAGGTCACAGCTGTAAACAGTACTCTGATTAGGGCTGGCCGTTGTTATGATCAATTATTATCAGTTATGAGCATGCTGGAGGAGCAGGAATCCATCCTGCCCTTACTTTCTTTGATGTATGGAAATATTATCTCAGGTGGATCGGTTTCTCGTTGGTTCTCAGGACAGATTTGGGGGTTGATGCTCTTGAGAGGTTGTTCTGGAGGCGTCATTAATGAACGAATCATTTTTCAGATTTCCAGGCGGCGGATGGATAATTGATGTGACCACAGAGGTATTTCAGCACACACAAGACTAAGACTCCTCGGGCTCAAGGGTTTCCAGACTCGTTGCTGGGGGGGGGGGGAGCAGGTGGGCTGCCTTTCTTCGACCCAGGATTATGAGTGGTGTTTCCGCTAAACTGCCAAAGGACCTCTGGGGAGAAGTGTGGGGCCAGAGGCTAGTGGGAGGGTAAAGGGGGGCACAGCCCTCCCCTCCCTGGCTGCTTCTCGGCACCTAAAGTGTCTCCAGCTCCTGGGAGGCCGCTGTGCTCCCTGAGGATCACTGTATGCTCGAGGAGGGGTTTCAGAAGTCCCCCACCCTCAGCAGCTGGAGAAAAATCACACTGGGACTTGGGGAAAAAGGAAGAGGAAAGGGCTTCAGATGTTACTTCCAGATAAACTTTATCTCCAGATAAAATGAAAGGATCCTGTGGCGGCTGCAGCTTTACTTGCTCTACGCTCGTTCACGCGCTCCCCCTCGTTCACGCGCTCCCCCCTCCCCTTCTCTGGAACTTGGCTAAACTTGGCTAATCATAATAATTAACTACCGGTGTCACTAATTATTTTCATTACCAGCCCCTTGAAAGCAGGGAGAAGCAGGCTGCACAGAGCCGCTGCCTGCTCCCGTCCATCCCAGAATCTGAAGTCACTCTGGACAACCCAGAGTCTCACCGCGCTTGAATCCGTTCCTAGCAGCCTGGACTCCAGCAGGCCACCCAAGCCTCCGGGAAGCGAAGGCGACCGAGCAGGAGACTCTGGACCCCTGCTAGAAGAGGATCTGTCTATCGCCTGGCAGGCCATCAAATAACCAGATAGAACACCAACTTGAAAGCAAGCATGTTCTCCAAACATGTCTTCCAGTGGAAGAAACTCCTGTGCTTTTTAAAAGCAGGAAGGGGGAAAGAAGAGGAGAGGGAAGAAATTGTCCTTGTACTGCGTGCTACTGTCTTCCACTGTTTAAGCGCTGCAGGAATAAATGATTTCGACATGTTTCTAGCTACCCGTAATTATCTTCAGCACTGTGTGCAAACATTGTCATTGTTCTCTGCTTCTTTCTGGAAGTAGCAAGTCCTTAGAGAAAAGCTGGTGTGCAAAGGAATTTACACAGAGAGAGGAGTGGAGGGAAAAATTGAACTCTTCTTTCAGATAGTTCAGACAGAAGGGGGAAAAAAAATTCCTCCCAGCCTGGCAATAGTTGCGTTTGAGATGTGGGCGCCAATGATCTTCGCTGTGGTGAACTGCGTTGTACTAAGGCCTGTGTGGAAAGCCTGTGTTAATTGAATAGATTTCCCATTGTCTCTTAAATTCCACTTCAGAGCCTGCAAACCGAGAATTCTCCCTCACCCCCACCCCACCCCACCCCTTAGGAACCTGGTCCCTGTTCCCTGCTCTCTCTCCCGGCGCCTCTCCTGGGCCCGTCCCGGGTGTAGGGGGGTCCCGCACCCCTTGATCTCACAGGAAAGCTTGCTCCCACTGGGGACGGGCCTCAGGTGGGCGCCGGGCGCGCAGCCCCGTCCGACAGCGCCGTTGCCAGCTGCACAGCATCTGAATTGGAAAATTCCAGCACTTCCACCCAGATCCGATCCGTTTCCCAACGGAAAATGGCTTAAGAGGTGGGGTGAGAGGGAGGAGGAGGAGAGTGGGGGTGCCTCCAGAAGCGGGCAGCGGGGCCCACGTGCGCGCGGGGAAATCACTGACGGCCCCTCAACAAGCCGGACCCCATTTCCTCCCCGCCTTCTGCAGGCTCCTTCTAGGCCCCCCAGGTGAAGCAGTTTCTAGATCATGCCCAACAGGTGTCCAGAGCGGGGGTCACCGGCAGCGCTCCCGATGACCCCCCTTTTCCCAGTTTAGCGCCCCATTTTCCCAGTTTAGGCACGGCTTCTAATCCTGCTGTCTCCTAGCCAACGTACCCTAAAACTCCTACGGGGGGGGGCCCCAGGCTGTAACCGGGCCCTGAGAAGGCCCGGCCCGGGTGGGGTTCTCCTTCCACCCCGTGCACAAACAGGATCCCTCTGGGGTGAGCGGCGCTGGGGGCTGGGGACGTGGGGTCCCCGGTCCTGGTGGGGCAGGAGGAGGGGAGGCGTGGAGTGCCTGCCCAGGCCGGCTTTTGTGGGCCTGTTGGCGTCCCACGCCCACAGATCGCGGGGTCACCCACAAGCACCCCGTTTCCTTCGCCACCTCTCTCTCCAAGCGAGCCTGCCCGGCCCCGAGGCCGTGAAGCCCGCGTCGCGGGAACCCCGGCGCGGAGCGAGGGAAGTTCCCGCTCCTCCCGCGCCGCGGGGCCGGGCTTCTGCGGTCCGGACACCCCGCTCCAAGCCGGGGGAGTTCTCCACAGCCTGTAGCGGGGGGGTCAGAGATCATGGGGGTGGGAGACGCGTGGAATCGCCCCCCAGCGGGAGGTCCCGGGAAGCCCTCGTCCGAGGCCCACGGCGCGGCTCCGGCGCGGGCCTCGGTGCGTCCCGGGGGCGTGCCTTCCTCGCGGGTGCGCGGCCCGGGGCCTCCCCGCGCCTGGAGCCGATCCCCCGGAGGGGAGTGCGGGCCCCCACGCCCCGGGGTCGGCACCCGAACCACGCGGCGCGTTTAGCCGGGCCCGCGGGGCGCACGGTGAAGCCCACCGCCGAAGCCTGCGCGGCCTCGAACTCGGAGAGGTCAGGGGGGCCTCGGTGCCCGGGCAGTGCCAGACCCCGGGTGTGGGCCCCGCCGCCAGTGCCCGTCCACAACGAAGACCCTGCACGCGGCCCCCCGCGCTCGGTCCGCTCCCGGTCCCCACCTCCCGGCCAGCCACCCTGCAGCTTCCCGCACACCGCCCGGAGAGGACCCCGCGACCGGTGCCGGGCCCGGGCCGGGGGCGCCCCAGACGCTGCCATCCGCGCCGGGGCGGAGGCTCAGACTCCCGGACGGAATGAGGGGCTGTGCGGAGGAGCCGGGTTCGCTCCCATCAGGACTGCGGGAGCGGCGGGGAACGGGGTAAAGGGAGGATCCCAACGGGAGGGGGTCTGGAGGGGCTCCAAGGGCCAGGGCCTCTCCCCCCAGCTGCCTTCTGCCCCCTCACCGCGGGCCCCACCCGTGCCCACCACACGCGCGCACACGCGCACGCCCCGGTGGAAGCGCTTCTCCCGACCGCCGGACTCCCCGAATTCGGGGCTGCGAGGGGGCTCGGACGGCGCGGCCCGGTGGTCGGGCCCGGTTTCCCCGCCCTTCCCCCAGCGCCCTAGGGAGAGGCCTCGCCGGTGGGCCGCCCCAGGCCGGCCCGCGCGCCCCGCGGTCTCCCGCTCCGCACCCGGAGGCGCGATCTCCTTTGGCACCGGAGTTTTTCTAGGCGGGAAAGGGCGCGAGGCCGGACGCCGCAGGCTCCCCACGAGTCGCAGACCCGGGTCGTGGGGAGTGCGCGGTGGGACCGGCCGGGGCTCGCAGCGCTGGGACATCCCGGAACGCACTTGACCGGCGTGTCGCGCCTCCTTCCCTCGGCCGCGCCCGCCCGCGACACGTCCAGAAGCCACAGAGGCGGCCACGGCCCCCTCCCTCCCTCCCTCCTTCGCCCCACCCCACCGCCCCAGCCCAGCGCCCAGATCTCGACGGCGCGCCGTGTGCACTCACCGAGCCCGGGAGCGCGCGGGTGTCTCCGGGGAGTCCCCGGAGGCTGGGACGCGGAGGCGCGCCTGGGGCTCCGGGGCCGCG